GGTCAAAACGGTCAAGTTGAATTAATGGCCGGCCACCACTTTTTAGGGTCCTCCCATGTGTGTACAACACAACCCTATGGTTCAAAATTGGCAACTATGAAACATGAGGCACAACAAGCCACTTCTAGGGGGGGTCAAAAGGGTCAGGTGGGATTACTGGCCGGCCACCAACTTTTAGGATCCTCCCAAGTGTGTACATCACAAATATATGGTTGAAAGTTCAAGAAAGTGGCCCCAAGGTGTTCAACATTAGCCCGGAAGTGAGAAAAATGGGCGTCGGAGGGCGCCGGAGGATATATAACTGGTTGCTGAAACAATTACTGGCCTCCCACCCTTCTACGGGCTTCCCGGTGATAAAACAGAGGTACCTGCCAAAAATGAACGAAAACCGTTGCAAAACGAATGTTCGGGGGCCAAAACGCGCAGTTCGGGGTCCCGAAAATGGGCTGTTAAGCACCGAAAGTGGCATTCGATCACGAAGTGGGTTTCTCAGACCCCAGTGTCCCTCAAAAGGGAGCAAATAAGAAGTATGCCAAAAACCGGGGCAAACGGAGATGGTTAGGCGGTCCCGAACCGAGTCACACGGCCAACGATTCTGGAAAATCGGAAACCGGGCTCCGAAATGGACAAAATGGCCTATAGCCACAAAATGTAGCCCACGGCCACTGAGAGATGGTCTACGGGACCTCTCTCTCCCCTCAGGACAAGAAACAGAGAAAACTGAGTCTGGTTCGCAAACCGAGGCAAGGCACAGTAGAGGGTTCGGAAGTCCGGAGGTAGGGCTCACAGCCGCGACTCTGAGACTTCTGAACAAGCACAATATGCAGTATCACCGAGCGCTCAACTGGTGACGTCTGAGTCTCAAGGTCGGTCAAAAATGGGGCGTCTACAAAGAGCTTCTTCCTTTTGTTGTATTCTTTTTGTGTAGCCAAGGGCTTTAATTGTATTGAGCAAGGCTCATTTGTTGTAACCAAGCAATGACTTGGAAAGATGCAAGCCTATAGGGCATATGACTATCTATTTAGTTTCAATTCTTTTATCATTGCAACACATGCTGTAGATTCAGGATGAACAGTTTGTGAATGTATATCGCATGTGTTGTCTTTTGTATATGAACTCTGATGAATGAAAGCATATTGTTTCTATTATTCTTCCACTTATGGATTGGATTTATTACATTATTTTGGGGGCATGACAAAAAAAATATATATATATAGGAGTGCTAAATCCCCGTTAAAAAATTTTGGTAACTAAATCATAGAAATATAGAGAGAGTTGCAATGGTTAAAGGTGATTACAAACTAATATAAAAAAAAGATAACATCAAAAAAGAAATGATAATATCAAAAAAGATAACAACTATGAAGATGCCCATGAACACGTAAATGCTTGAGTGGACTTTGCTTTTCTCTCCACACGTGCATCCCCATAACCTCCAGTTGATGATGAGCTTGAGTTCTTCGTCTTCTTTGAATTTCCATTACTGAACAAAGATTGTAAAAAGCTCGCGAGCTTGGCCCCAGGCCAGATCGGCTGCTTCTCTTTCTTTGAAACACTAGTTGTCTTCACTGGCTTTGGCCTTTTTGCAGTGAAACAAGAAGTCCTCGATTTCCCGTGTTCGAGGAGACGTGCTCGGCGGAGGCTTGCCATGTCTTCGTCCATGACTCTACGACCCTGACTTTATTTCTTGTTCTCGCCGTCCATGGAACGACAGCTTTCATCGAGAATACCGGAAGCGAATGATGGGTACATAGATGTATTTTGACGACTATTGTTGTAAAACTTCAATTCTTGGCATTTCTCGTTCCCGCCATCCATGGAACGGTAAATTTCGTCGAGAATACTGGTAGCAAATGATGGGTACATATATGTATTTTTGTTCATGTCCATTACATATATATATATATATATCAGTTTAAATAACAAAGAGGGGGGGGAAAAAAACAAGAGACATGACTAGTAGAGAATATGATGAACAGAGTGAAGAAAGAACAAGAGAAAGAGTAAGGGGATTGGTGTTTTGTAGAGAGTGAGAGAAGAAGAAGATGCCACGTGAGTAAGATGAAAAGAATTGTGGAGAGAGTCTGCTTTATAAAGAGAAGGGAATTGTTGTTCAAATAAAAAATAATAATAATAAATAAAAAAAAAAGACAAGGGAAGGGAATTGGGGATGGACCGTCCGAGGTTGAAGCTAATTCCGGTTTGGCATTTTCAGTGTGAAATAAAAAAATATTTCATATCTTTTCAATCTAATTCCTTGTTTCTTACTATATTATTATATTATTCATACGATATATAATTATTATTAAATATTTAAAATTCATAATAAAAATTAGGAACCTTCAAAATATTTTGATTTAATTACACACATTTAATTTCTTTTGTACACTTTTTTTTTTCTTTTTTGATTTGTTTTATACACTCATATGTACTAATATTTATGCTTAAATTATAAATTATATATATATATAATATAATATAAATAAAAGGAGATTTTTGTGAGAAATATTGTGGGAGCACCAAAACCTCATAATAAATTTGTAAATTTATTGAATTAAAAAATAAATTTAAATTGACTAATCTATTAAAGTAATAGTTTTCAAAATATTAATAATTCCATAATTTATAGTTTTTAAAAGGAAAGATAAAAAAAATATTTCTTATCTTCCTAACCTAATCATCTCTCACTGATTTTTATTTCCTTTAAAAACATTAAAACATGTTTCTTACTATATTACTATATTATTCATACCATATATAATTACTATCAAAATTTTTAAAATTCATGATAAAAATTTGGAGCCTTCCAAATATTTTGATTTAATTTATGAAAAGTCAAAGGGTGAGTCTATGGTGCATTCACACAAGTGATTATAAACCAAAACATTGGAAACAAAATAATAATGTAAAATCTCTCATGATTGTATTTATGATATCATTTCTTAGTAGTGCCTCATGCTCATAAAAAGTATTTCGCATTTGGAATGTTTTGACTAGATTCATTTTAGTGTGACTTATTAATACACCAAGTTTAAATTAACATAATAAATTCATATTTTAAATATTTTGTTTTGATATTGTTTTTCTAAGCATAATTTATGAATGGTTTTTAGATTGAGAGAATATTGAGTAAAGCTTGTTATGGTTATTCATGATCATCTCTCACTGATTTTTATTTCCTTTAAAAAATTTAAAATTTGTTTCTTACTATATTATTCATACCATATATAATTACTTTCAAAATTTTAAAATTCATGATAAAAATTAGGAGCCTTCCAAATATTTTGATTTAATTTTTGGAAGGTCAAAGGGTGAGTCTATGGTGCATTCACACAAGTGATTATAAACCAAAACATTGGAAACAAAATAATAATGTAAAATCTCTCATGATTGTATTTATGATATCATTTCTTAGTAGTGCCTCATGCTCATAAAAAGTATTTCGCATTTGGAATGTTTTGACTAGATTCATTTTAGTGTGACTTATTAATACACCAAGTTTAAATTAACATAATAAATTCATATTTTAAATATTTTGTTTTGATATTGTTTTTCTAAGCATAATTTATGAATGGTTTTTAGATTGAGAGAATATTGAGTAAAGCTTGTTATGGTTATTCATGTTTTGTGAATCCTGTGCATAGAATGAAAAATACTTTGAAAAGAATTGAGGAGAGAGACTGGTTTTTTCAAGTGATTTGATTTCCATATAAATACTTTGAAAAATCCATTAATTACTTGTTTTTAAAGAAAACAATTTATTTGATGAATTTATAAAAAGTATTAACGAAAAACAGATTGCAACTCCAAAAGTAGGCAGACAATTTGTGGCATGAATGTCGAACAGCAGTTTTTAACGTTGTGACGGTCATTTGCAGAAGCAAAACTCAGAAAGGAATCTGACTGGTTTAAGATTTTTATGCAGTTCTATAAGCACGAATCAGCCCACTTCAAGTTCATTCATTAGAAATATGTTAATTGTAAACGGACATGTGTATCCTACATAAATTGAGGTACTATTGTGCATTATGGCCCTTTTTGGTAGATCTTTGTAGATTTTAATTTATTCTTCATGTTTTTCTTATTTTCTTATTTCATGTTTTCTTTTATTTTCTTATAGAAAAACACTGAGGAAGCATATAGGAAACGATTTTTGAAAGATCTCTCGAGACCAAGAGATAGGTAACGAGGACTTTCGTGTTTCAAGAATCCACATAGGCCATGTTTATTTGGGCGGACTGGATTAGCATTCCCATGACTAATAGTCCTAGGATTACGAATCCGTTGGATTATGTATCATATCTTAACTAATAGTCAAGTTTAAAATAATTAGTCTGTACTTCAATTGTTTAACCAAACATCGGATTAATAATTTTATTGGACTATTAGTCCAATCCCAAGCTCATGTCCACCCAAACAAACATGGCCATAGAGTATTCTCTCATAAGGGAAGTCCATGTTTTTGGTACGTTGTGCATAATGTTGAGATCAGTTCCATCATTAGAAGCAAAATTCAAAAGAAAAGAACTGGGTAGAAAAGGTTGATCCTGAATATGAAAAAATAAAAGCAAAATATTAGGCCCGCATAGAAAGTAACATAGCAAGTGCTGCATCCCTGACCACTATTTACAAAATCCCTGTTTTGATAGGACCCTGACCTCATTGGATCAACATTGTTTCCTCAAGCAGCTATTCAAGGACTGACAAATTAATGTTATAAATTGACACTCTATGCTCCACTATAACAAACTCAAACATACAATAGGGCACTAGCTAATTTAGCAATAAGGCACAAAAATGGGAAGAACTTATTGATTGACCGAACAAAAGAAGAAGACTTGACGATGAGGAACTGACAAAAATAAAATGTGATTGAGGATAGCCACATATTCACTAAATAGTATGCATGTAAGTATGCAATGCGCAAGGAGATTAAGAAGCTAGACTATTTGTTCTTTTATTACATGACAAATATTAGTTGCAGCAGTGGACTAATAGAGTTTTTTTTTTTTTTTCCTGTTAAGTAATCCAGTACCGTATCATAAATGATAAAAGGTATTTTGAGCATGGCTTCTTGCCTAACAAATTAAAACTATAAAAAAAATTAAACTAACCAAGGCTTCTGAAGTTTCATGCTTTTCCACAGCATCAGTCGACACGTGTGTGCTGCCTACTCCAAATACTTGGGGCAAGGGCATCACAATGCTGACAGTTCACAAATCTTAAACAAAGTCATACGTCTCAACTAATAAACCAATATTTTTAAACATGATAAAATCAACTATGGTTTTCCAAACATCAAAGGATGCCAATGATTTCTAGAAAATAAAAGCTGCATTTCCACTTAGTAGATTCCTTCTAAGACCACCAAACAGAAATAAATAGTCATTTTCCACTTAGTAGATTTTCCTTGTAAGACCGCCAAACCGATATATAGTCATCAAGCTACACAATCTGGGAGAAGACATTGTAATGGAACAATTTGTTTATAGCTGCTATTACCATATATATAATTGATAAACATGAATTCTATCAAGAACTGATGAGTTATTACAAACAGACCACATGTTAGCACTAACTATTCAATCCAACCACCACCAAATTAAGCAGCCACATAATTCAGAATTATTTCTTATATTTTGTTTTTGTAACTGTATATTCTTACAATCATGAGCCCTCACAAGAATGTTAATCAGGAAGTGAGGAAGTGAAAATATAATTTTCAGCTGTAAGTAATGGAAACAAACCTGAGACCACAATTGTCGCAATAGCCTAAAAATAATGTCTTCGGGTCTGGTAATAGATGGAAATATCCCTTGCATGATCAGTTCCTTCTTCGGTGAAAACTAACAAATTTATTAAAAGCTTTTCCAAAATGAAAAGCAAATCGATTGCTGCTTGTTTAACAGATTTAGAAGGAGTTGAGACAAGGTTGATGACAGGAAAAACGAATAAAAGCTCTTCGTTTAAATTAACTGCATCTGCAAAAGCAAGTACAGGACTTCATTTTGTTAATGTAGTGAAATTTGAAAGAAAAAAACATAAAATAAAGCAATGACAAAAAACATCCAGTCATGCACTCGGTGTGAACCAAGAAAAGCAACTTCACAACAAAATTAAACACACGTGAACTTCAAGATAGTGGTCATTATGCATCCTTACAAAATTACCAAGAACATAATTACAATTCAATGGCGTATGGTAATAATAGTAGTAGTAGATTTCATGTTATATAAAAAGTAAATTTGGACCAGAAAACAAAGAGTATGAGAACTAAAAGTGATGCACCAAACTAATAGCCTTCTGGGCCATTCCCATGTAAGTAAAAGAGGTAAAAAGAAACATTAAGGCATGATTAAATGACCATACCATTTTCACTTTTCCACTTCAAGAGGAAGAGAAGCAGTTTCAATATAGATAGTTGTTCATGTTCAAGCTCTGTTTGAATGAGAGTAACAAGCAAGGATAATATTACTGTTGATAGTTCAGGAATATAACTCAAGCCAAGCTCTTTTTGGACACATACTAAGCACTTTGATACTTCCTCCCTTGCATGATCAGTTCCTTCTTCGGTGAAAACTAACAAATTTATTAAAAGCTTTTCCAAAATGAAAAGCAAATCGATTGCTGCTTGTTTAACAGATTTAGAAGGAGTTGAGACAAGGTTGATGCAGGAAAAAACGAATAAAAGCTCTTCGTTTAAATTAACTGCATCTGCAAAAGCAAGTACAGGACTGCATTTTGTTAATGTAGTGAAATTTGAAAGAAAAAAACATAAAATAAAGCAATGACAAAAAACATCCAGTCATGCACTCGGTGTGAACCAAGAAAAGCAACTTCACAACAAAATTAAACACACGTGAACTTCAAGATAGTGGTCATTATGCATCCTTACAAAATTACCAAGAACATAATTACAATTCAATGGCATATGGTAATAATAGTAGTAGTAGATTTCATGTTATATAAAAAGTAAATTTGGACCAGAAAACAAAGAGTATGAGAACTAAAAGTGATGCACCAAACTAATAGCCTTCTGGGCCATTCCCATGTAAGTAAAAGAGGTAAAAAGAAACATTAAGGCATGATTAAATGACCATACCATTTTCACTTTTCCACTTCAAGAGGAAGAGAAGCAGTTTCAATATAGATAGTTGTTCATGTTCAAGCTCTGTTTGAATGAGAGTAACAAGCAAGGATAATATTAGTGTTGATAGTTCAGGAATATAACTCAAGCCAAGCTCTTTTTGGACACACCAGAGTGCTTGAACATGAGCCTCATGAGCGGGAGATGACGAAAAAACAGTTTCTAGCAGTTCCACACCAAATACTTGAGCCTCATGAACAAGCTGCTGACATTAATTAAACCAATTAAGATGGATGGGTCCCAAGAACAACATGAAACTTCTAATAACAGCATATGTTTGAACTTGGCAATAAAATCCTGGGACAGCATGAAAGATCAAGAAAAATCGAGGTCAAAAAAACTTAGTACATTGAAATGAGATTTTGTAACATACCAATCCCATCCCGACCAAATGTCTCAACACCACAATATAAGCATCTACAATATACTCCACAAAATAATAAATATACCTAAACTCCTGCAAAAAATATGACATAAGAGAAACTAATAAGAATGAGCTTGTACGAAAGCTATATATATGTTGACATTCATTCCAAACAAAAACTATAGTTGTCATAATAAATGCTTTAATAAGTAAAATTACTTGTCTGCTTCAATGGGAAAACTCAGTTTCTTTCATACAATCTAGGACTGCAACAATTAATATCAGTTGACCAGGCCAGCGTTGTGGTTGGCTAAGAATTTTGTGTCCCTAAATTCCTCTATTCCAAAATACTCGCAATCATTAGATTATATGGAAGCCTTCTCGTTGTAAGTTGCTCCACGTAGCGTGTGAAGGTGTTTAAATTGGAAAGGAAGTGAAAAAGAAAATGAGAGAAGCCTCGTCATCTTCTTGATAGAACCATATAGCTCACATGCATAATTCTCAAAGACACATACCAGTGTTACGTGATCTTAGTTATTGTAGATTGCCCAAACTCCATGGCACATAGGTGCACGACTTCTGGAGCCAATAGGTTGCAAGCTTCTCGATGACTTCTGGAACTCTATGATCGCTGTCGTTAACCAATCAGAACATTTTCAAGTGCCACAGTTGCATAAGGTTTACAACTCATAGTAATGCCTCTTGCTGTCCAAGTTGCTGGAGCCCTCTTGGCACCACCCTCATTTACCACTAACAGTTGTGCTGCTTGGAGCACATAGCAATTCAACAAATCAAGTGCCACTTTCTCATATCTGAAGGCAACAGCAACTGATTTGAATCTGACACCAGAAAACTCTATTCGGGAGCTTTCAAGAGAGATTGGTTACAAGAGCCTATCCTTTGTTTTCTTCATTCCTCAGGCAGCACACAGTTTTTGATCTCGTAGCTTTACATAATCCATCTATCATGTACTTGAATGTCAGGCTATTTGGTGCAAAGCCCACTTTCAGCAACCTATCCTGAAGCTCCATCAACTTGGCAACATCACCTGCCTCACAATAAATCTTGAGGAGTGCGTTACAACATTCTATGTCATAAATTTGAAATTCTTCAACAATTGAACCAAGTAGAGATTCTGCTTTATCAAGATTCCTTTCATTGCAGAATCCATTTATCAAAGCCCTGCAAGTTGCAATATCAGGATTCACACCAAATTCAACCATTTCTCTCATTAAGGACTCACCCTCCACACTCCTACTTAATCTACACAGGCAGCCTATAAGAGCTTTATAGGTAACTAAATTGGGTTTCAAATCATTAGAAACCATCTCAGCTTTCAACAGCAATGCCTCCTCCACAAAATCACACTTGGATAGAGAATAGATCAACTCATTGCAAATTTCCTCTTTAGGCTCATGACCAACTTGAGACATTCTTTCCAAGAGATTCTTTGCTGCACATGGGCGATTCTCCTGACACAAAGCAAGGATTAGGTAATCATAAATATCTCGACAAACTGAAACTCCAAATCTCTGAAGCTCCACAACCATATTCAAGGCCGACAGCAACCTACCCTCTTTCACATATCCTTCTACAAGAATCCAACAGGTAAAATTGTCAGGGAAAATCCCATTCCTAACCATATCAGACAAAAGCAACCTAGATTCTTGCATCATTCCCTCCTTACAGTAACCACATATAAGAGTGTTATATGTCAAAATGTCTGGAGTCAACCCTCTATGAACCATCCAACGTAAGATCTGATGAGCCTCTCTCACTTTCCCTTCTTTACAGAGACCATTCATCAAGGCAGTATATGAAACCAGATCTGGCATGACACCCCTCCTATACATAATCTTATACAAATAAAACGCATCTTTCAATCTTCCCTTCTTACAATAACTATCAATCAATGTGTTATACGTCACAATATCAGGATCAAACCCTTCTTCTTCCATCTTCTCCAAGAACTCATTCACCTTATCGACGTCTCCACCTTTGCAAAAGGCATTAGTTAATATATTAAAAGTATACAAATTGGGATGTACCCCGATTCTCCCCATGTCTTCATAGATTCGCCAACACTGATCAGTATAATTCGACTTCAAAAGTCCATCCAAAAGACTATTAAATACAACAACATGTGGAACAAATCCAAGCTTTACCATCTTCCGAAAAGATCTCAAACCTTCTTTAATCATACCCACTTTAACATAAGCCTTAACAAGCATATCAAAGGTAATCGGGTTCCAATTACACTCGTCTGTACACTGAACCAAACTTTGGAAAACATCTCCACTTGCCGAAACATCTCTATTCAACTCTATTAATTCAGATAACAGTTTCATTGCCCGTGAATAGTTCCTAGACCATGCCAATATGTGAACAATAATACAGTAGTTATGGGTCGATGGTTTAAGACCCAAATCATTTTTTACCCAGTTAAAGAAAGTGAGAGCAGTGGAAGAATCAGATTGGCATCTCAACAAAACCCTAGAAATTTCATGGGTACCCAGATGAGGAAGAAGCCCCTGAATATCTTTGTGAACAATGGGAAAATGGGTATTGTGTTGTTTGAGATTGGAGCATATGAGATCGACTATATTGTTAGGGTTTTGAGTATGGGGAAGGAAACTGTAAAGTGGGTTTGAGATTGATTTGGTCTGAGAATCTGTTAGGATTTGGAGAGATGAAATTGACGACGATAACGATGAGAATGACGATTTCGATAGAAAATTAGTGTTGAGGACTGGTTCCGAAGTCGGTGCAGAGCAGATTGATCTTTGGATGATTTGGTTAATAGAATTGATCGATGTTCGATTCATCGGTTACTAACAAAATGATGAAGCTACCCTACAAACTGAAACAGAGAAACATACTAGGTTAGTTTAAATTGTCAGTTACGACGGTGCAAAATACCGTTTAATTTATTAAAATTGTATCGATTTGTATTAATTTGTACTTTTGATATGCTTGTTATAAAATATTGCCCAAAAAATAAGAATAATAGCGAGATTTTTTTTTATAAAATAGCATTAACCAAACATATAACCACCCATATGATAATTTTCTAAATTACAGAAGCTGAGATGAAGTTAATTTGGAAAAGGATCAAGTATGGTGGAAGTTGGCCCCTGTGTCTCCCTAATTGGAAAAAGAATTAATTTCATTGACAAAGAATTAATCTCTCTAATAGAACAAATATTAACAGTCACTTCAACAGCATGCATAAAGGGAATTTAGAAAGAATCACCAAAAAATAATGGATGAAACAGGGCAGCACATCAAAGTCACCGTATATAGCACTTTGAGGAGACACTAGTTTTAGACACACGAGACACATAAATCCACTAAGAAAGCAATATGAGTAAATAGCAGTAGCAACACAGCAACATCAAATAGACTAATCGGGTTGTTGTTTGTTTCTACGAGTTTATTTAGACTTGAGTGACATGCTCATGTTGATGTTTGATTGATTTCGTGGTTGTTTTACAAGTTTGCCTCCCGAATGAACCATTTAAGCCTTAAGTTCTGCAAATTTCCTAACAAAAAGTTGTAACGAGGTGTTGTTTGTATCTACAAGTTTATTTAGACTTGAGTGACATGCTCGTGCTGACAATTCATTGTTGTTTGATTGTGTGAATTTGTGTGTGTGTGTGTGTGTGAGAGAGAGAGAGAGAGATCAGAAAATGAAGCATTACTTCCATATTGACTTTAGATAGATTGGTAAAATTAAAAAGAAGGAAATATATCATCCTATGACATTTGGCTATCTCAATTTCACACATAATTTGACTAGTAAATTCATTATTGAGGCCTGAAACATGAATCTAACAAAGGTAGAGCCTTTGAAGCATATATGTGTCTCTATGTCACTCTGCTTAGGCCGTGCCAATTGTTGATCCTCTAGTTAAAGCATCAAAACCTCTAAATCTGTATTCATATTCTTTGATCTAACTGATACCAGTCCCAAGAGCATATCCACCATGAGAATATCAAGCTTCCCCAATCAACTCCCCCTGACACATGTTCAAGGACTTTCACACATGCAAGAACAAAATCAACATAAGTTTTGGATAAAGAAACAACAATTAATAGTAAAATATATTTAACAGGTTAACTTTAAAAAAAAATAATCACTAAATCCCTCAAACAGAGTTACAATTTGAAGCCCAAGTACTTCGAATCACATATGTACAATAAAATAAGAAAGGGGAAGTAACAGGTGAGGGAAGACAAGAAACCCCATTGACAAACACACCTGATTCCATAGTTTTCAAGAAGCAGTAGAAAATATCATAGCATAATTCAAAAGGTACCAACTATATCTAATCCAGCACCAATGTGACACAAGCAAAGAATATTCACAATAAAATGAGAGCAAGAAAGGGATATTAAATTAACTAGTAAAATATGAGCAGTAAATTAAAAGCAAATCTATATCTCTTAGAGCTACCCTTAGCAATTCACTATCATGCATTATAGTACTTCACATCATTGACACCATAGATTTTGGAACATGTCAGGAAGGATTCAGATGATTAAAGAACTACCTTTATTAACTTTAGGCCTGCTATTGAGTTTCATCATGGTTGGAATAGATGATCCATACACATCAGCATAAAGCAGCCCAACATTAAATTGACACTGACTGAAAAGTTCCATGGATAAATTAACAGCAAATTCCACAAAGTATACAAAGGTACATTTGCAATCTTAAGTACAAAATTTCAGAAGGCACTTCACTCAAAATAACATTAAAACTACATGATGTTTCTATGGCATATGGAGTGATAGTATTAGTTCCTTGACACAGAGATGAGAGAAAGTTTAAGATACTGTTATTTTAACATGCTTCATAATTTTTATTTATCAAAAAAAAAAAAAAATACATGCTTCATAATTTTCCACTTTAAACTCCTTGCTTGTGCTGAGTTAAATCTCAGATGGATAATGGACATCATAAACTTTGTATTAAGTAGCCCACAACTACATTTCTACTCCCACAAGAACTTTGCATGGTATAATCCCCAAACTATCCAAAATAAATAACACAATCAAACAAGAGAATATCATAAAAAGGGGAATCTAAACACTCTCTCTAATGAAGGGCATCATGAACTAAATGTTAATCTAAAACAACTCCAAATGAAGGAATAGTTTTTTTTTTTTTCTTTCTTCCACATGATACTGTTTTCAATCTAATAATTTTATGCTCGAATCCATATCAGGTCAAGATTCATAATCACTGTAATGGATAGCTCATCTTGATGACTTTTAATAGTATAAAGTTTAATTCAATGCATGACTTTATTAATTAAAGGTTATGGTATATGCAGAAACATTTTAAGATGTACCGATCCTATGTGAAATGTTAAGAAACTATAAAAACAAGACATTACCTCCCAATAATACCCATTTATAGAAGGTCATGATAAGATGGAACTCAAGATTGATCTGTGGATATGTTTTTTTAATTATTTTCCTTCTAATTTTCTTTTGTTCTCTGTAGAACCATCATAGCATATGACAATGGGATTGTTGGCATGACAATGGGACAAACAATGGCCTACAACCACCTCCCCTTCTCTAAAACAAAAAACAAAAAAAAAAAAAAAAAAAAAACAATCCTACTAAAAACATCCATGTCCAAATATTATTCGTGGTTTAAATCTTGTTATTTTTTTGACAACCAATCACATCTAACCATTTATAATTTTAGTAAGATTGTTAGTATGCATAGAATTATTCATTAAAAACCACTAAGCTAAATTAGAAATCAAAATCAATTAAAACCCATAAATTAAACTCCTAAATACATAAAACATGGTATGAAATTTATATTAACAATTTCACCTTCAAATGTACAGAATCACATTCCTACAATGACCAAACTATATGAATCAACTTTAACTTTTCAAAGAAAAATAAATAAATTCAACTTTAGTCATTCGGTGCACATGTGTAGAGATAGTCCCAAGAAATCATAGCTGGCCACCTTCTATTTGCATATTTATTATATACATATATTCCACTATGTAAGCCCCCTTCTCATGTGTAGACAATAAAAAAATCAAACAAACCTGATAGTGTTTTCTCTGCATTTCTTGGAGTGAATTTCCTATGCTTTGAAAACCAAAATCCACAAAACAGAAAATAAAATTAAAAATTTGCTAAAACAGGTTTTTTCAAAAATGTAATGAAACAATTCAGTACATCATACATTTCTTGGATAGCAACCTATCTTTTGCGTTTCAAAACCAAAACTCATAGAAGATAGAGGAATTACAGGATTGAGTTCGGCTGAGGAATATTTATTACCTAGGTGAGTAATATTTATCCACATTCTCAAATTATAAAAATACAAATCAATTTTAAACTCGAAAACAGAGTATAACCCATATATCATTTGAAACAAAAAGTACCACCAATGATATTCACATCAATATACAGATCAATCAACAGTGGGAATGAAAGATCCAACAGGTAAAATTTGTCTTCTCCAACGAAAATATGAGAACAATAATAGAGAGAGGGCAGACAGCAGCGAAATAGACGAAGGGGCAGCGCCGTTCGAGGGAGTGTAGTCGGCGGCACCCTCTCTATAGTGGGCAGCGAAATAGAGCGAGGGGTAGAGAGAGAGAGAGAAGAAGAAGAAGAAGAGGAGAAGACGTACCTTTTGCTGTTTGAGGTATTGAGAGAGAGAGAGAGAGAATGGAGCTTCAAAGGGTCAATTTCTTCTTTATTCACACAGACAACTATTTCTGGCAATTAAAAATTAGGGCAAACACCAAACGGTGTAGTTTTGGCAAATTAATTATTGGCGACTAAATTAATTAGGTCACCATAAATGTCGTTTTACATTTTCCGTGACTAAGCAATGGTGTTGCCAAAAACAATACATTTGGCAACTAAATGTTCCGTCATCGTATATTAGTTTGGTCATAAAAACTTTTCCCTAGCTCCCGCACATAAATTTCACTTCACGCCAAACTCAACAGCGACCAAATATTTTTGTTCGTCGCCAATAGTTTAGTTTTTTGCGACCAAAACATATATGGTCACCAATTGTGTACATTTCGCAACTAATTTCTATTTTAGTTGCCAAAAAACGTCTCCAAAAATGTTTTTTGTTGTAGTGTTGGTCACCGATTTATTTATAAGGTGACCACAATTTATTTGATCGTCGAATCATTTACTGACATGGCTTCGGCGTTCCAGCTATGAAAATTTATAGCGATCTCGGTTGTCCCTCTACTGTTCTGTTGCATTCCAGACTCGGTTCCGTGAAGTTGGTTGTTGTATCTATGTTGTTGTCGTCCTTTAATTCCACTTGATTGAGTTTTAGGATGTTTTGAGAAGGGTTGTTACAAGTTGGTTAGGCCTTGGTTTCAATTCCTTGTTGTTCAGTTTTTAGGCGGTCCGCTCCAGCGGGTCTTCTTGCGCTCGAGCGGGGATTGCACACCTCTAGTATTTCGTGTTCCTGCAAAACTCCTGCAGATGTGATTTCTACGCTCGAGCGGGTTTCTTTACGCTCGAGCGGTGGCGCTGGAGCGGGTTTGTTAGCACTCGAGCGGGTAGTACTTTCTGGATATAAGTTCTGGGAGAGAGAAATCTACGCTCGAGCGGACTGATTTTCGCGCTCGAGCGGAAGTGCTTTATTCTTGTGTCTTGGCGCTCGAGCGGGCCTTATTGCGCTCGAGCGTGTCTAGATTTTGTTCTTGGCGCTCGAGCGTTGTGTTCTCCGCTCAAGCGGGTCATGCGTATATGAGTTATCTGCTGGGTCATTTTAAATCACTTTTTCACTTTTCTTCTCTCTCTTACTTTTCCAAAAACACCATTGTTGAGCTTCTCACTCTAGAACTCTACCTTCTCTCTAGGTATTGATCTTGTAGGAGTGATTTCCTCACCTTTGGCCTTTACAAAAGAGTTGTTGATCGTCGAGGGCTATCTTTTGATCCGAGAAACTCGTGGTTTGGAGCAAGTTCGTTTTCATCTTCTTCTTCTTTGGTTGTCATCTTTTGAGGTAGGGATTCTTACTCACTCTTATGGTCTTTGACCTAGATTTTTAGTTGTTTTGGTAGAGTGTTGAACTTGGGAAATTTTGGTACTTAGGGTTTCAAAATGTGTAAAAAGGGTTTTGTGATCTTGGGCTCATAACTTGTATTTCTGGGTTCCAAAGTGATGATATAGTTGTTGGTTGTTGATATTAGGCCATTGGGTCAATATTGGGAAAGGGGGTAGAAAACCCTAATTTGTGGTATAAGTTAATTGGCATAATTAATTTGGGAAAATTGTGAACATATGGAATTGTGTTGGAAATAATGAAATTGGCTCATTATGTTGTGAAATGATGGAGTTGGATTTAAAAATCGCTCGCTTTTGAAAACATTGATATTTTATCTGTTGGAGCTTTTTATTATCTGTTTAGAAATAATTGCTTGGGCTATGTCATAGAGTATGACGGTTGATAGAATACATTAACGTTATGTATTGATTGATTGTGTATATGACCTTTGTGTATATATGCATTGTGTGTGGGGGAGGAGATAGGGGATGGACTCCACTGATACAGCTCATATGCTTGTCAGATAATGTGTTGATACAGCTTATATGCTTGTCATTGGAAGTGTTGATACAGCTCATATGCTTGTCATTGGAAGTGTTGATATAGCTAATATGCATATCTGTTGAAATGTGGATACAGCTTGTATGCTTATCTGTTGAGATGTTGATATAACCTGTGTGTTTATCTACTGTAAAAATGGAAAACGTTTAATATGAGTCTTGGTCTCATATAAGTGGTTGGCCAGGTTCTGAGCCATTGATGGAAATTGTGAAATTGATAAGAAATGGAAATGGATTATGAATTGGTTTGTGAAAATTGAACATTTATCAATTGCTAATGTCTTAGTCATTGCTCATACTGTGTTTAGCATATCTCTACTGGGCTGTGGCTCACCCTATATGGGAATATCATTTTCAGGTACAGGTAGCATGCCACCTCCAAGGACGTAGCTTGGGAGGCTAGAGGCGGGCAGACTTTTGTTGTTTAGTTTCTTGATGTATTACATGTATATTCAAGCCAAGGCCTTAATGTGTAAATGAGTTAGTACTCTTTTGTTGTAACCAAGTGTTAACTTGGAAAGCTGTAAGCCCGTAGGGCATTTGCTTTTGTTGTTAACATGTAATACTTTTTGGTAATAGAACTCTGATGAATAGAAGAATGTGGAGCTTTTATATATCAATGCATGTCTATATTGATGGGTTTAATGTTATTATTTTGAGGGTGTTACAACTTGGTATCAGAGCGTACCGGGTTCGAATACTTTGGGTACGTGGGAAGTGATTAGTATCACAATGGGTTTGTCTCGCTTGATAGAGACGTAGATGTAGTACCATATGCTATGTGCTTAAGTGATAACATGCTTATGTGACTATGTGGATTGGAAACTGCATAAAATTAAACACGGAAGTTCATTCAAGAAACCACTATACC